AAAACCCCAAAACCCCAAAACCCCAAAACCCCAAAACCCCAAAACCCCAAGTTTATAGATAAACTTACAATTTATGATAGGAATTAGGTAAAAATAAATTAATATATTGATTACATCATTAAATAAGAGAACTCAAATATGAAATTAAAAACTCAATCCAGTGAAAGTCCATCTAAAGGAGAGTAATCTTTTGGCAAAAATATTGGAAATCTATCCAAATTGAATAATCAGAGCTCTATTCTGCAAATAGAATAACAGATGCCAGTCACTAACAATGATCGAAGTAGAGCTCAGTCAAATGATGACTCATATTTCGGAGGTAAAAACAAGTTAACTATGCAGCAATAAAAATATGCGAGTTAACTTGAGTATGGTGGTTACAACAATTAACTCAGGAACAATAGTAGTATAAACGAATCAATGAGTATCTCGAAGAATGAAAGTATGCCTAGAATTAAAAATATAAGGCCTGACCCCACATCCAAGAACTCTAGGACTAAATTTAACTAAACAGCATCATAAATTAACGCTCTTAATTGCACTGTCTCATCAATTAATGGAATAAATGACACTCAAAATAGTAGCTTAAATGGAGCAGCTTATGGAAATCAAATTAGTAATATATTAGGCTAAGAGAATGGAAGAATCAAAATGCTTAAGCGATATACACTTAAAACAAAAGCTGCTAATGTTCTATAAAAAATCGGATTTCCTTAAAAAAAATACAAAATATAAGAGGAATTAAGAAAGATTAAGAAAGAAATAGGGGGCAAAATGGAATCTGATAACAACGAATTCTTTGAGTTACTCAATCAAACAACCTAATCTTTCTATAAAACTCTGAATGAATCAGTGATGAATTAAAATCCTCCTGATATCAGCACTTCTTACTATGGATAATAATCAGCTGCTAGAGATTATAGTGATGCAGAAGAGACAAAATACAACAGTACAAGAAATTTCGAGCGACCATAATATAGGCCAGCAACATAACTTAAAACTAGAGATAATAAGCTTCAGTTCCCAAATAATCTATAAAAAACAAATAATGCTGTTAGCTAAAGAGATACAAGTTTGAAATCAAAAAATAAAACACTTGATAAAGCTAAAAATTTCTCCATTCCTGAGGAAGGATTGAATACAATATCTAACAACAGTCAGTAAAATCTTAATACAACAATAAGTAATATCAAATCAAAATTGGGTATCAGACCTATAACTTCTGTATAAGAGAGAGGAGGTTCTTCAATGAAAACTGATAAAAATGTAAGTAGAAATTAGATGTAAAATAACTATGCCTCTGTTACTGATTCTACAAAAATGACTATAAATACAGGTAACCATTAAACTTAATTACTATGCTATAGCAAACATATCTGGAAATGCCCAGATTCAAACTATAACGAAGAATAATATCTTTAACAGGCCAAGAGGAGCAACTATGGATAGTATTAGAAAGAGACCTGTCGTTAGACCAAATAAAAATCCTAATGAATAGTCCAATGATAGCTAGAGCAACCTATTCTAAACACATCATGATATGATGAATTCCATCTTTGAAGGGACTACTCAAGTAGGGAGAAACAGATCGATTTCAGATGAAAAGAAAACAACTCAAAATATGAATGCAGAAGATAAGAGCAATTAGTACCTCGAAAAGAGATCAAACAGCCGAATATCATTCAAAAGAAGCAGAGTCGATCTCTACAATCAGAATATGATTTAGCAATTTGAAAGATAATTCGATTCTATTAGAGGATCAATTGGAGGAGAGAGAATATAGTATATAAAAAGTTAAATAGTATAAGCATATGAAATTGCTTAGTTCCCAATGTATTAAATAGACGAGAGGAAAACATGCTTGATTGACATTTGGAATACCATTATAGAGACAATAAAATAGAGCAATGATCTCTCAACTTTTGAATTACTATTTTCAACTTAGAGAGTCCTAGGGAATTTCTACCTAGACTTCAAAGACTTAAATGAAGCAGTGAGGGTATACAAATCATTGAAAATTTTATGCGAAGACTTCCAAAAGTATAAGGAGAAGATGCATGTTTATGAATAAATTGGATATGTTTACAGGCTAATGAAAGATTCTGAAAGTGCAGTCAAATAATTCAAAAAGCAGTTGTAATTAGCTTGGCAAGAGGGAGATACTCAGGTGGAGGTAAATGCATATGATAACCTTAGTATTGATTACTTCTATCTTGGTGAGTTAGCCAAAAGCAACTACTATCATGATAGAATAATGAGAGGGAAAACAGAAAATAACAAATCTATTGTTAAAAAGGTTTCTTGTAACTTGCTGGTCTCTCGAAGAGAACATAGACATAATATAGAGCTGAGGAAAAATGGAGAGAAATAAAAGACAATGGAATAATAGAGATTACCTTCACCCTCAGCCATAAGCAAAGGTGCTTAATTCTCTAAAGCTATTAATCTTTTACCTCACTATACTGAGTCTTAGGCACTTGGAATTAAGGAAGAAGAAGATGAAGAGCTTAATTACTCCAAGTAAAGAGGTAAAACTACTGATGGCAGATCGCAAGGTAAAAAATTTACTTAGAAAGAGTTATTGCACCTTAACAAACTACCCTAGTATGAATATCTTAAGACATAAATTGAGAAAAAGACCTTTGTTAGCAAGAAAAATTTCTATACAAAGCTTTAATAAGCTGAAAATAAAGGTGTTTACAGACAAGAGGAACCTGTAGATTATAAACCCTTTGATGAAGATAGATTTAGAGACATTGTCTCCTATGCATTATAGAAAAAGGAAACCTCACATACTACTGATGATAAGAGGAACATTTCACATATGAGTGTGCACAGAACTGCCCCCTTAAATGTCTTTAATCCAATCAAAATTATTGAAAGTCTAAAGAGGACAATTGAAGCATATGCAGCAAGATTAGTTTAACTCGCAGCTATGGATAAACTAATTAAGTAAAGAGACTCTCCAACCTAAAAAATGTTGTGATAAGATCAATCAATATATTTATTATTCATTTAACACTAATTAATAAAATTTAATTTAATAAATATTCTTGATGGGGGTTTTGGGGTTTTGGGG